TCACCTTACACGAAATAGGGTGAATACATCTCATTACACTGATTTACTGGTAGTCTCGAAACCATACTTTTATTAAATTACATGCTTTCAAGATCATATCTCATTATCTCAACCATCCTTGCTTACGGGTTTACGCAGTCTCAGTCCGGACTTTCTCTTGCGTCATTAGGCCTTGATGATGAGAGCCTGACATTAGCTTTTTGATGACTCTGATTTAGGATTGGTATTGCGTATAGACGCTAATACACGCACAGACTCGAGCAAAAGTAGAAAGACCAATATGAAACATAATTAGCCGAGCCACTCTATATCTATCTATCTAGGTTTTTTATTTTCTTTTGCTTAATTTAGTCTATATAAGAGATAAGATAGGGTAGGATAGTCTTCGTGTCCTAGTGTTAACGCGAGACTTTTACAGGAATGAGACCCATCTCTGATGATGTTTATCATATGATGGACGAAAGCTCAGCCCGTTTTCATTCGAAGCGAGTGAGTAGACTGTCAACCTGAACTTCGTATAAAAGCCAAACGGCTGAAGTAAAACGCGATTTAGCCGTCCTTATTTGGTGAGATCGATCTACGAATCTCTTCTTCATGCACTTTCATACGAATTGAAATCTCCCCCAACAATTTTATCTCAGGAGATTCATCGAAGCCCAATTTCTCTTCGTATTTAATATGGCCTATTTACCTATTAACATCTTCGTATTCGTTTGCTTTCATGTCGCCTAAGTGTAGCTTAAAGTGAATTCAGCGAAGCGTAATGACCTTCACTGATTTCATCTGCCATTCTCAGGGTTTCTGGGATCTAATTATCATTTAGGTTCATTACTCTTTCACCAAACTTGTTGGCTGTCCCTTGCTGCATTTCAAAATCGCTGTCTAACTGGCTGTCTGTAGCCCTCATTTTCGCTCCCGTTTACTTTATATTCTAGGATATCAAAAGCAGTGGTTCTAATGCCTACGGTCCCTATGATTCAGAAGACCTTGACTAAATTATCTTCTTTCTCATCTTCACTCTATTCTCTCCTATTTTATGGGGCGTTTGTGCGGCCTCATTTTGAACTATTCGTGTGGACATGGGATGCTTTAATTATCTCATTCTGAATCACTTAGGGCACATTATATTCTCACTTTGGCAGTCCAACCATTCTTGGCTACCATATCCGTCATAGTAGAGGATTTGTTTACATGACCGAACTCGAGTGCCTGATTGTACGTAGACGATCGCCTGTTGCCGTTTTCAAGTCACTTTGGCTTCGAGAACCTAGCATCCCATTTATCAATTTTCAATTCCACTCCATTCCTTCACATTCCCTAAGGCACCTGAGTATAGCTTCCTTTTAAACTTGTTGAGCTTTTTTTCCATTTCGAGTGAAAATGTTTGGTAAAGAGATTCGAAGGTCGATTCCACAATAAGGCGCCGGTGGATTCCTCTTGATTAGCTGTCGATTGGTTTTACGGGAGCATTCATGGTGACGCTGCTTCCGAGGTGATTTCCTTCGATTCCGGTTAGAAGATGTTAAGCTTTCGTCCGTAAACAGAGCAAGGTATCATCGTCAACCAAATTCAAGCTAATGAGTAAAGAATACTCGCAGGCACATTCTTAAATAGCTA